AAATGAGAAGGTTGGGTTTTCTTATATAATGAGAAGGAGAGAAGAAGAAAACAACTATGGTGACTCTGGGATCGGCGTAGTGGGGAAGGAGGCGCCGTTCGCACAGTGTCCCTGATTGGGACCAATTTTGGTTCCAGTCGGGGTACACTTTTTGGTCCAACTTTCTCTGAATTGAATTCCGTTTGCACCGTTGCGATCGGGCAGTTAAACTCTATCTAACGATATAATTTTTATATTTATTTGTAATACTTTTTCCGACATCATATTTTTGGGTGCTTGACTTTAACAGAGTCAAAATTGGTTTAATTGACCTTTCTCATAAAAGGTTCTCTCATTTAATTCATATCAATTATTCTCATGATTTATTTCAATAAATCATTACAAAGTTCACATCATAATCAATTAATTTATTTATTCTTGATTTGGGTCTGTACTCAGGTTCCCAATCAAGACCACACAAATAGTCCACATATTGGATTTATCTCGATTAGACTTATCCAGATTTTGATATTGGATATAAAAAAAATATTTCATATCAGCCCAAAGCCCAATAATAATCAAAACAAATTTGTTTAATCGAATAATTATTTAATAATAATTCTAGGGTATGTTTCGGGGCGTTACATTAATATATAATTAAAAAATAAAAATTATTTATTAAAAAAACTATATAAAAAATTTTACAAAATGAGGGGTGACAAGTTTATTTTATTTTATCAAATTATTGATAAAAATTTATAAAGAAAGTAGAGTTAGTTTGATTTGTGAATAGTAACTAAAAGAGTCTTTTGTTTGGAACATGGGAAATTTTATAGATAAAAATAATCTTTTTGTTACACATTAAAGATATACGGAGAAATACATTTTTTATTACCTCTATGTCCCGATTTAAGTTGTTTATTCATTATTCAAACTATCAAACTTTATTATATTTCTTTATCTGTTTTCTATCTATTAATATAGTCATGTCGTTCTGAATATTTTTGATGTAGTTTTTCAATATTAATTTTTATTTTTTAATTCTATCCCAATTATCAAAGAAATTTAACAAAAAATAAATTCAGTAAATAACCATAAATTAAAACAGGTGATTTAATTTAGGACCGAGAAACTAAGGGTCAGAGTTCAGGTTTATTCCAAACAAAAAAGCCCATTTAATCACCCCTTAACATTATCAAATCGCACATACTCCGTAATACTCCATAAACTACTCCCTAATAATTACACCACACTCCGTAGTAAGAGGGTGTTTGGCAGTGTGTTGCTTTTAATAATTTAGCTTCTACTTTGAGTAGAAGTGATTTTACTTTGTTTGGCATGTCAGCTTCGGCTTTTCACTACCACTATTTTGTACATAGAACACCGTTTTGGAGAAGTAGGTATAAAGTGATTCTGTTTTCAGCTTTTGTGGAAATCACTTTATCAATAAATAAATCACTCCCAAACAGCCTCTAAATATGATACAAATGTGAGCAAAAGGAGCCTCATTTTAAACGGTTGGGCCATTTCGCGCATCGAGGCCCAAGTCTTTTTGATCGTAAAATTAGGGTTTCAGACTTCATATAGTCTTCCGCAGAAGCAAAGATTTTCGGCTGGCCAACATTCAGGACGACGAGAGAGAGTGAGTGAGAGACGATGAAGACGATACTCTCTTCCGAGACGATGGACATCCCCGACGGGGTGAAAATCAAGGTGAAGGCGAAACAAATCGAGGTTGAGGGTCCTAGAGGCAAGCTCTCCCGGAACTTCAAGCATCTGAATCTGGATTTCCAGCTGATTAAAGACCAGGAAACCGGGAAACTCAAGCTCAAGGCCGATGCCTGGTTCGCGTCGCGGAAGGCCACCGCCGCGATCCGCACCGCCCTCAGCCACGTCGAGAACCTCATCACCGGTGTTACCACGGGCTTCCGCTACAAGATGCGCTTTGTCTACGCTCACTTTCCCATTAACGCCTCCATCGCAAACAATAACAAGTCCATTGAGATTCGGAACTTCCTTGGCGAGAAGAAGGTATGGCATTTCAACTCTCTCTTCCAACAATGAGTTTCCTTTTACATATTGTAGATCTGTTACTACGTTCTAGATGTACAATCATGTCTTTTAGTTATTCGTTTGGACATTTCGTTGAGTGATTCCTTGTCATTATTCTGGTTATTGTTTGTTCTGTTTGACCACATTTTAAACACTGATATGTGCGGTTTGGCGTAATACTGTTTTGCGTTCCATATGTTGGTTACTCTCTGTATGTGATTGGCTTAAGAGATGCACATGCGGTTTGAATAGATAAGATACCTATTGAATTTAGATAGAGAGTTTGGTTTGTTCCATTTGCTTTGTGTTTACATTTCTATATGCCCTACAGGTAGATTGTGATTGCATTGATTTGGCAACCTGCTGATCTGTGTTTTGCCCAAAGCGTGTAGTTCCTGTGTATTCTGTATCTGTAACTATATTTAGTCTGTAGCAATTGATCTGAATGTTAGTATGGTGTACTCTATTTTTTGCTACTGATTCATCTATGACTTCCCAAATAAGCCGTGTAAAACAAGTCCCTTTGTTTTTTGTTCTTGCTTTTTTGGAGGTAGCATCTTTTTTTGTGATTTATCTCTGAAAGTTAAAGGCTAAAGGCATGTTGTTCAAGTCAATTGCCTGTATCTATCTTGGAATAATGTTTCAGTGGAATATGCGAGCATTCATAATATGTTAAAGTTTGTTCCTGGATGGATATAGCCCAAAGTAAAGTTTCTGGCTTGCCCAGAGAGAACTTTGTTTTTGTATGGAATGTAATGGGAAGGTTATTTGTTCTTCTATGCACCTTGTTTTGGTTTGTCAATGCTGAAGTTGCAGATTCTTAGCTGCTTCGCTAAAGATTATGCCAGCAGTTAAGAGAATTTGGTCTGTGTGTCTAGCTTAACCTATAAGCTGCTATTGACTTTGTTTTGCTTGCCATAAATGGTTGCTTTGTATAGTAACATTCATTGGTGAAATATTAGGTGTATTCCTAATGCATATAAATACCATTAGCTCTTCTTTGCAACTCGGATATGGTCCATTTTGTGATCTGTCAAGATAACGAAGTATGGTAGCTTCTGAACCTTCATTAAATATTGCTGGTATGAAAATTGAGTTTCTGTCCACATTACAGGTAAGGAAAGTGGACATGCTTGAAGGGGTTACGGTTCTCCGCTCGGAGAAGGTGAAGGATGAATTGATTTTGGATGGGAATGACATTGAACTTGTGTCTCGCTCATGTGCACTCATTAATCAGGTGATACACTTGTGAATATTGGCTTTATCTTTTAGTGATTAATAACTACTCCGTGTTCTAAGTTATTGCTACTTTATGTGTTTTGATGTGCAGAAATGCCTTGTCAAGAACAAGGATATTAGGAAGTTCCTGGATGGTATCTATGTCAGTGAGAAGGGAAAAATTGAAGAGGAAAATTAAGCGAACCCATAAAGTCTGCTAATTTTTCAATTCCCTTTACATTTTGGATTATTTTCTTGTTAAAGTTTAGACTTACTATGGAGTTTTGGTATTTCAGGACAATTATGTGCACCATTATGTTTAAAATTTTGTGTTGCTTTTATGTCTTTCGAATTCTTCATGATGCGATTGTTGTTTCTTTTCAACTTTGTGCAAGTATTGTTTGGTGCTTTGGATAGAATTCTGATCCTGTGCTTGGCCAATTTCATCTAAATCCCATCCAATTTCTGCCCACGAGAGGCTAATTTAATAGCTTAAATAACATGTAATTTCTCGAAAATAAGATGTGAATTTTGTTCCTATTCACTGAACTTGAGACCCTCTGGCAATGGTGTTTCTGTGTTGGTGTGTAGAACGATGATGGCTGAGGTGGAAGAAAAGATGCAAAAGGTGGTAGAAGAGAAAGTTGGCCGAGGGGGGAGGAGATGGAGGGCAAATAAAGAAATGGTGGGAGTCCAACCTATTTACCTAATTAATATTGAGGGCTAAACAGACAATTAGTGTATTTTATTTGCCAAAAAAGAAAATACGAAGGAAATTTGTTGGCGGCCGAAAAGAAATGGGAAAGGAAATTTATGGATGCAGGCAGTGTTTCCTAGTGTAGTTTTTGTTCATTCGCATTATAGACAAGCTGATGTGTTCTCTTCTTTTCTTTTCACTATTTGTTTGTACAGCTAGGTTCTAGAGCCTCTCAAAAAAAGTAGGTACGTAAGCCACTCACCAATTGGGACACCTACGGTGCTTTGTTCGCAAATTTGATAATTTCTACCTTAACTCCCCGGTAAACCCTCTACCCAGACCCAATCCCAACTCATCCCCCTAACCACGTCAATTCTGGGATGCAAATTTAGTTCACCTTGAAGTCAAAATTTTTTACTTTAATTTGGCGTCGGGACTCGACGGGGGTTTACTGGGGGGTTAGGGAGTAGGAATCATCAATTTTGTGAACGAAGCTCAGTAGGGGGGCAATGGCCACCGAACCGGGCCGTTGTTCGTATATCTTTTGATTAAATTTTTTAATACGTAATTTTATTTTTTAATTATATACTATTTTTCATATAAAATAATTTGAAAATAATTTTGGTCATATATTGTAAACCGAAATGGAAAATTTAAATTAAGAAATAATGGATCAGATACATGTATAAATTATTACTCAATCGGATGTCAATGCGGAGTGGATTGGGACTGGATGTATAATTACCAAATTCGTATTCGTTTACCAATCGGAATTACTCGGATACAGATAAAAACTGCTTTTAACGGATGCAATATTAAGCATCTGTTTAAGTAAAGTTTTTTCTTAATTTTTTATTTTTATATTTTTTTTCTATATTAAAATGGTAAAGTATAAGATATTTTTATCTGCAAAATATATGTGTAGACACATAAAAGTATGTGGACATAAAAGTATGTGTGTATATGGATTGTGTATATCTTTTTAGGAAAATGCTAGGGGTATACCAAAGGTGTACCACAAATGTCCCCCACCCCTCCTTGACCACCAAAATTGGCAAGTAAATTCAAAAAAAAAAATAGATAAAAATCAAATAAAAATGGATGGTGAGGAAGCATGTGGTGTACATTTGGGGTACACCTTTGGTGTACTCCTAGCATCTCCCATCTTTTTATAATATGAAGTTGTCGTAAAATATCATAAATTATGCAAAATAAGAAAATAATTATGAGAATAAGACAAAAGTAGGAATAAAATATTAAAAATATACCAAAATAGGACTTCCATGTTTTTATTCTCGAAATAAGAGTTAAAATGTATTTGTATTACCAAATATGATAATGTAAATTACCAAAAACTATAGTAATGTGCACATGTATAGTGGCACATTACTGTTAGACAATGCGTGCAACTCTAGAGGGGGGGTGAATAGAGTTGTTGAGAATGATTACCGATTTTCGCAGGATTAATAATATAAACGTAAGTGCAGCGGAAATAAAAGAGAGAAGGCAAAGAACACACCGATGTATACTGGTTCACCACCTCGTGGCTAGTCCAGTTCCCCGAGAGACTCTCTCGAAGCTACCACTACTTTCGTTAAGCTTACGGGTGCTTAACAAACCGTTTACAACTCGAGAACTTGAATCCCACAAGCCTCGACACAACCGCTCGTAGATATGCCCTCTACAAGACTTCACAACCAAGACTTAAATCACATAAGCCTTGAACAACAAGAAAAATAATCTTCTTCAACCTCTCAGCAATAACTCTCACAAGAGTAGAAATGAGAAAAGATTAAGCTCTACGGGTGACAAGAACACTCTCTTGAAAACACTTAGTTTTCTCTCAAAATATATCAATTTGAGGAAGAAATGAATGGAGGATTAT